CGAAATTTTGGAACCAGGGTCGTATTTGAATAGTGTGAAATCAGTTGTCAAAGCTTGTTGCGTCTTGGTTTGTGATCTCAGTTTTACAGTTTAGGTAGTACAGCCAACAACTCTCACATGTGACGTTTCACAGCCTTAATTGATTTCTGGGTACAAGATCAAAAACCTGAAGTCGACTTTTCAGCCTTAACTCTCCACTGGCTTGTGACCTCACAGTCCACTCAAACTGATAGTATAACTGAAGAACTGAGCAACCTACAAGATTTCAATGATTTACGAACATTATGCAATCGGAAAACAAATATCTTGGCAAAGTAAAAACATTTCCTGCATACTTTAGCGCATCCTTGTGCACAGTTAACAGCATCGGGACTGTCCAGCTCTCCCATATGCACAGATAGGATTTATCATCGAAGCATTCACTAATAAATACAAAAGTATTTGTTAGTGCGCCTTTAAAAATGCCAAAACTATCCTCACACGGTTAGTAGAGTTTTCAGAAAAAATTCAGTGGAAAAATTCAAATTTTTCCACTACATCTTACAGAGACTGCGCTCATATTTCACTGCGAATTATATGATTAATGCAATGGGAAAATCGAAGACCAGCGGTCGAGCGACCGATGAAGTGCTGTTACACGGATGCCTCCTCGCGACCAATATGTTAATTTCAGAAGATGCGGAACAAATTTACATCGTCGATTGGTCAAGTAATTCAAAATAGTTTTTGAGGAGCTTTTAGGATTTTTCTTTTTTACTTCCAGTTGTGTCATTTTTCAGGGGCAAATTTTTCATTTTACTGATAATGACTTATCGGTGAAACTAGCGATGGTTTTAAAAACGTTTTGCTGAACAAAAAAAAAATTGGAATTAGACTAGATAGCACGACCAGTGCCACGTGATTTGATTTTGCCTTGCAGATGCTCATGCTGGATCGCTTGGAGAAGATTTGACAGAATTAATATGCTGGAATTTGTCGCCAAATCTTCGACATGACAGTTTGGATGAGCTTTTAGAGCATTACCGCTATCATTTCTTGAAGTATTGCCCAGGTACCAGTCAACTGTTTTTTCCAGCTTGTAGCATAACTAGGACATCACTGAAGTTCATACTGACATGACTGCAGCCTTTTCCTCTAAAAAACAGTGAAGGCAAACACTGTTGCAACAAACGACGAAGACCCAGAACTTGTTTAATCCTAGAAATTTCTTGTATTTCCTTGAAAGCAGTAAGAAGTGGCAGCTACGAGTAAAATGGGTTTGGAGTACAAACTTCTTTTACAAGGGGCTTAGGAAAAAATGACAGAACATTACAGTAGCAGCTAAAAGAGAAGTTGAAGAAAGTGATAGAAGGAAAAATTAGAATTGGATGTGTCTAGGAGGAGCAGAAGTTGCATCAGGACTTAACTGTTACATTTGTGAGAACGAAGGCCTCAGGATAAGAAACTGAAGACTTATGAAAAATATCTCTAAGGACCTCTGTGAAAAACTTGTTTTCATCTGCCATCGCTATGCGCTTACCTCATTTTCTTTTGTGTCAGCTGTAACTCCCAATGAACTGGAAAACGCAATGCACGTAGTGAATATCGGGAAGCTGCACAGGACCGGACCGCGCAAAATTTGAGCAAAAGAAATTCAAGCAGAAGGTGGAAAGATCATTAAAACCGGGCAACGATCGACTCAGTCAGTTCCTCAAATCAGGGAGGATTTCGACAGAATGGAAAAAAATCCTGAACGGTGCTGATGCGGAAAAAAGAAGATCGCCCAAACATCCGCAACTGCCATATAATATTCTTGCGGACACAGTTACACAAAAATCTTAGTGTTGGTACCGGAGAAAAGTGATTTTTGATGGAAAGTCAAGACGAAAACAAGAATACTTCAAAAGCGTCGTTTGCTCCAAAACACATTTTCAGCGCAGTCGGCATAAACAGAAAGGAATTCTTTTATGTTTGTTTTTCGTTGATTTTACGAAAAATTTCGATTCAGAGGAACTTAACTTCGTGCAACAAGTTCTCTCAGACCGAGGAATTGGTTCGGAAGCTTCAAGCATCAAAAATTCTTCCATTGGGTCATATAAAAAAGTCATTATTTTTAGCTTGGTCACAATAATAGGAACTGGAAAAGACATTCTTCCAACAAAAAAAAAAGACCCTCGATCCTTCTAAGAAAATTTCCGGATGTTCACTTTTCATTGGAATATTGAATCAGTCATTCAAGTTAGAATAGTGTACAGAGTCGGTGAACATAAGCGCTACTGATTTACGGCACCTATATATGCATTTCCTGCCACTCGCAATGTCGCGATGGACACTGATGTTTGCAAACGTGGATCCCGACAAACCAACAACAAAAACTATCCTGGAGCGTTC